GCTACCAGCTGCATGGATATCCTCCAGATTTTAGACTAAACTCAAAGAAGAAGTTTAACTCACTCCCTTTATGGCCTGAAACAAGCACCTAGGCAGTGGAACAAGAAACTTACTGAGGCTTTACTACAACTTGGTTTTAAACAAAGTCATTTTGACTATTCCTTATTTACCAAAAAGACTGAAATTCATCTAGTTGTGGTCTTAGTGTATGTAGATGATCTCTTGGTAACTGGTAGCTGTCCTGAATTGATTCTACAGACAAGGAATGATCTCAAGTTGAAGTTTAAAATGAAAGACTTGGGCCAGTTGAAATTCTTTTTGGGCTTGGAGTTTGCTAGATCACAAGAGGGGATCCATATAAGCCAAAGGAAGTATACACTAGAGTTGATATCAGAAATGGGGCTTGGAGGTGCTAAACCTGCTAGCACACCTCTAGAAGCCAATGTCAAGCTGACCTCGTTTGAGTATAACAGTCATGTAAAGGAGAAAACAATGGAATCTAGTGATCAGTTATTAGATGATGCTGGTCCATATCAGAGACTAATTGGAAGACTCTTGTATCTAACAATGACTAGAGTGGACATATCCTATGTTGTGCAGGTGTTGAGTCAGTTTATGCACAAGCCTAAGCAATCTCATATGGAGGCAGCTTTAAGGGTGGTCAGATATATCAAAGCTGAACCAGGTCTTGGACTGTTAATGCCTTCAGAAAGCTCAAGAAAACTAGTAGCCTATTGTGACTCTGACTGGGGTGGATGTCTTGAGTCCAGGAGATCAGTTACAGGGTACACTGTGAAGTTTGGTGATGCCTTAGTATCCTGGAAGTCCAAGAAACAGGAGACAGTAGCAAGGAGCTCTGCAGAGGCTGAGTTCAGAGCCATGGCATCTACAGTTGCTGAAATAACCTGGCTGGAAGGGTTATACAAAGAGCTAGGAGTTAACATTAAGCAGCCTGTACATTTGTTTTGTGATAGCAAAGCTGCAATCCAAATTGCTGCTAATCCAATATTTCATGAAAGAACCAAACACATTGATATTGATTGTCATTTTGTAAGAGAAAAAATTGTTCAAGGGCTGGTTCAAACACTGCATGTATCGACAAAAGAACAACTAGCTGATCTGCTCACTAAGGGCTTGGGAAGACTGCCACATGAATACTTAGTTTCCAAGCTGGGATTGAAGAACCTGTTTCAACCATCAGCTTGAGGAGGGGTGTTGGTTAGATTTATGACAGCTAGGATTAGAGCAGTTCACAAGATAATTATTCTAGAATCAGTTAGAAGGTTAGAAAGTTGTTAGAGTTAGTTAGCACAGTAACTTTCCTTTATATAGACATAGCATTGTAAAGATATTTTCAAGATGCTTTCAGCTTAATAAGAATGAGTTCTCTTTCTTCTATAATTCTCTCTGTATCTTCTTCTTCCTGATCCTTTTGCATCTTCTAGATGGTGATTACTCCATAAGTTTACAGTTATAGACTTTAGAGACATTTACAAAGAGTGTTAATTGTCGCTAAAATACATATTTAATAACAATTAATCTATTGTCATTAATTAAATGCTGCTAAAGATCATTTTTGGCGTAGTGAGTTGACCTAAAATAAAATAATGCACAAAACATTCGCATTAACAGTGTTGTAGAAGAGCCATATGGCAAAGAATGTGATATATAGGAAAGATTTGTATTTATTGTGGAAATTTTGTTTTCTCTATGATTAATATCTCCTTCTTCTTTTTTTTCAAATCTCATAATTTACTATAAATTCTTTCAATATTCCTTTCATGGCAAGAATATCATTATGATGAAGAGGATGAGATTAAGAGATTGATTTAGAGTGTTTGCAGAGTGAAACCATACAACCATTAATAACTGCTTCCACATCTTGGACCCATAATCCCACACGATAAGACAATCTTCACCATTACTATAAGGCTCCTCTTCGAAGTATTGTTTTAAAGATCACTTGTAAACTTTTGAAAACACTAAAATGAATCACCATAAAAAAAAGCAAAAAAATTCATGTGGAAGATACACACTATTGGAGTAATTGAGATAGAGAAAGCCATGGATCGGAGATGATGATCAGACATGAAAGATAGACCATAAATAGGGGAATATGTTTCACAAGAAGGAGGCATATAAACAGCGACTAAATAGTAGAGTTAAAACATATTGAAAACGAACCAAATGGATGAATGCAAAACGTGGCTGCATTAATAGATAAATGAAAGGTGCACATTGAATCAATGATTGCCAGTTAAGACCATTTTTGTACACAAAATTTCACCACTTATCCCTTTTAAAATAATTACTATTTAATAAATAACTTATTGTAATTTATAAACATTTTAGAGCATAATCTAAAAGTTAGTCGATAGTATAATGTTTTGTTATTAATCCTAAAGACTATAAATTTTTTTTAAAAAAAATCATATGTCCCCGAAGGAACTTTTAAAAATAGGGGCAAAATCTGAATAGTCACAAATTAAAAGGAACATTTGAATAAAATGATCAGTACATTTTGTATCTGTTAAAAAAGTTTTTCATTTAACAAAACCAACGAATAGTTCTTAAAATAAAATTACAGTTCTTCTTTAATACAAAAACAAGAAGAGCCAAGTTATTTAAAGAGTTCACCATAGGAGACTAAAATAAAAGAAAATGTCTTTAATAGAAGGAATAGAGAGAACATATATAATGGTAGGACCTAAATAACTAGGTGTAATGCGGAAGCTGGTAAAGCAAACTTCGAAAGACCATGAGTAAGAAGATAAATGATAAATATATCAAAAGACATAAAATTTAGCGTGATTTTGTCAATCGACCTACATCCACAAAGGAGATGAACAATCACTATAAATATGATAGTACAAAATATATAGAGAGAACACCTCAACCAATTTACTCGGAATACAAGGATCACAAAATTTTCTCCCAAAATCAAAACTCTCAAAACCCTAAAGACTACATTGTGAATATTGATTAAATTAAAGTGAACAAGTCTCTATTTATAAAATGCTAAACCTTTTCCTACAAATTGGATAGTAAAGCTATTAAGATATACGAAAATGACATGTCAACCTTTCAAATTGAGAAAATACCTACCATTTACTATAGTACTCGTTATTTTTAATTTTCGATCAACCCCGACCCGGCCCCTACCCCTTTACATCCACAAGTTCTGACTTTTGAGTGCAAATTCGATGGGACGGGGGTCTTTCAAGACGATAACATCAATAATAACAATATATCAATGCATTTCACAAGTTAGACTTTATTTCCGAATAACCATCTCTCTTGCCGGCTTAGTCGAATCACTTGAACTCGAGTCATTCGCTTCCTTAAGTCATGTCCATACTAAAAGAGCTAAATCGGATGGTGACTAGATTCATTCCGTAGCACGGGATTCTGTAACAGCAAAAAACGTGACATAATCATATTACCTCAATTAGATGATAAATAACATGTTATATTATAATTTTGAGAAAAGACATAAAGTCACCATTGAAGTTGTTTCGAATTTTCAAAAGACACCTTAACTTTGCGGGTGTCCTATTATCCCATGAAACAATTTAAATCCACAATAAATATACCCTTTTGACTAATTTTAACACCACTCGTATTGTCACAAAATTTGGGCGCGTGAAGGACTGTTCATACAGCTTCAGACCAACGTAAAATTGCCATTTGACACTCTCAATTTGACTTATTTTGAAAAAATATAAAAATCCATGTATTAATTTTTTTTAAGCTTTATTTGAAATAGTTTTTAATTTTCAAATCTTTTTTGTCATCTTCCCTACCATCATTAGCTTACCCATATTTCTTGGGCATCTATGTCTTCCTTCATTATTTTTTTTTAAACTAATGTTATTGTGTTCATTCATATTCTATTTATTTTTTAAAAAAAAAACAAATTAGTTTAGTGATTTTATTCCTCCTACAAATCAAGTTTGGGATTTGGGAATAGTGAAACTATGAAAAACTCAATTTGGGAGTAAGAAGTTGGAGGGAGTTGATTTAAATGTCAGATTTTGACTTGGTGATATTTTGAGTATTTAGATTTTGATTATTTGACGATATTTATTTTCATAAATAAATTAATTGGTGATAATTTGATAAATAATTAGTAATGCTACCGGGAAATTCCGTCCCGTCACAACGAATTTGGCGATTGTTCTTCACAATGAAAGGAATGGCAGACGCTAAGAACAGAGATTGAGGCCAAGAAGAAAGAAAAACAGAAAAAAAAGAAAAAGAAAAAGAAAAGCAAAGAAATCTAATAAAAATAATTAAAAATTACTTTTGACACGTGTCAAGTGACTATTAGTGCGTGACTTACAAATATTTTTGTATAAGTGGTACTGGGTGAAAAATGGGGTATACATACTATTGTGAAGCTGTTCAATGGGGTAATAGGACACCCGCAAAATTAAGGTGTCTTTTTTAAAATTCAAAACAACTTTAATGGTGATTTTATGTCTTTTCTCTGTAATTTTAGCATAAATAACTTAAATTTATACGGCATTACGTCCTCTTTAACAATTTAATAGCTTTATTTGACACACCAAAAACGATTGTAATTAATTTCAACGTTATTTACTCTTACTTTATGTGTCCTTTAAAAAAAATTCATTTGCGTAATGAAGGTAGAGATTGATGAAGTAAGCAAGCAGTTGAGACTTGTTCAAAGCTATTGGGTACACTTGTTAACTTGCTCAATTATTTTGAAATTGAAATTTGAAACTTAAAAATTTAATATTTTGAAATTGTGATTTTTGAATTTTGAAATTATGTTAGACATGTATTTTGTGAGTATGAGAACAAATTTATCTCAAAAACTAATCGCACTTAAAATTACTTGAAATAAAAACTTATGATCAAATAAATATTTGAAGATAAAATTTTGAATCTGATTCTGAACTCATGATGAAATACTGGATAAAGTATGTGGTGCTCATATGTTCTTGGATATGCTATAAAAAGTACACATAATAATATACTAACTTATAAATATTTTTATTTTCATTTATATATATACATAAACACACATGACTAGTTCATGAAAATTCAAATGTCTAAAAAAATATTAATATTAAAATTAAAATTAAAAAACTCACACCAATTTTTCTTATTTCATCATTTCAAAGTTGCTAAGAATTAAACTGTCTCCAAAAGCATCTTGCTCAAAAAGATACCCATCAAAGTCGCCATCTGATGCCCACCACGGTGGGTACAGCCACCCGTCAACTGAATCACTCATCTTCAACTCGTTCTTCGATTCGTCCGACTCAAAACTTCCGTCCAAGCTTGGAAGCTCAATAATTTCACACAGCTCCTCCGATGCCGACGTGATTTTGTCAATTGAACTAACAGAGGAGGAAGAAGATACTAAATTTGGATCCTCCATTGCTGCTGCTTCAGCTGCAGCAGCTTGAACATCTCTCGGTGAGAGTGAAATTGGGCGAGGCAATGAGTCAATTAGATGAGGGAAATTTAAAATCGATGAGTCCTTTTTTATACTCAATGCAGCGACGTCGTGTGCTCTGGCGGCCATTTCTGCAGTTGGATAAGTCCCGAGCCAAATGCGTGACTTTTTACGCGGTTCCCGGATTTCAGACACCCATTTTCCCCAACTTCGCATACGAACTCCTCTATAAATTGGGTGTTTACTCCCTTTTTCAACACTCTCTCTTATTCGCTTCGACATTCAATTATTATGAGTTGCTTAAATAATAAACATCTTAATTTTCACTTGTAATCTTACAATTATAGATACGAATTACCAAAAGATGAAAGAGAAAAAAAAGATCAAAGGAGAGCGAGAAATGTTTGCAAAAAGGAGCAACTTATGATGTCTATGACCAATTGGATTCTGACATACTATACTCGTATCGAAGGGATGCTTTATGAAAACAGGGGAGAAAAAAATCAAATGTGTCGATTTCTACGTTAGAGAAGAATGGGAATGGAATATGAAAAAAAGGACAAAAATTGAAGTATTTTTGGAGGGGTGAGAGACCCCGAATCGGAGTGTGTTTTTCTTAGAGAGAAATGGACTTCATTATCATACATTCTGAACGAGCTTAATATGTATATTTATAAATGTCAAGTGTAGAGAATTATTGCTTGTCAATTTACAAGAACGTACGTAATATAGACAAACAATACGTAAAATATTAGGTTTAGGTTATTAAATTCGTTGTACGGTTTACTTTAAACGTTAAAATAACACTTTATTTCTATTAAAAATACTGATGACGATTTGACGATTAACCAACCAACTACCAATGTATCCTTAATAACAAAAATGATTTAGCATTTATATATATTAGTATTAAAATATACACACATTGATGGTGTAAACTTAAAGTACTTTTAAATTATTAGTGTATTTTAATAGGCAACATATCATGTTTTTTTGTCTGGTTAATCTCACTTTTTATGAATAATTGATTATCATAACTACATTTAGTTTAACCTAATAATATACTCCATATATTTCATTTTAAATACCAAAATTTGACTGGACAAAGAGTTTAAGAGAAATAAATAAAAAGTTGGTACATGCCAAAAGTGCCTCCAGATTTTGTAATTTCAAACATGATATATGAATTTTTGCGCCTATAAAAATCGTCATTAAAAATAAAACATGAAACTAGCGTTGGTTTTTTGTTTTCATTTAAAAATAATGAAATTGATGGAATATTTTTTATTTTTTTCATACTGCATTATTTCTTCCATTAGTGAAGATTAACATTCCAAAGTCCAAACTACCCAAAGCACTATTTTAGAAAACTAACCAACAAGAAGGTTTAGTCACCATCATGCTAAAAGGGTCCCAAAAAGCTCAACAAAAGTCTATGTTCTTTAAATGTAGTTTTTTATAGCTTGAAATCATCCACGTACTCTTCTTTCATTTGTACATCTTCGTTTGGTGTGAGGGATAAACATAAATAGTCCTGGGATAAAAAAATAGTCCTGAGATAAAATTTAGATGTCTTGTTTGGTTGATATGTTTGGGATAACTTATCCCACCATTTATAGCATAGTGATGTAATAAGTTATCTCATATACATGGTGGGATAAGTTATCCCAAAATAATTAACCCATGATAGTTAATCATAGAATAACTAATTCCCAACCAAACGACCCCTTATATCTTTGTCCCTTACACGTGCTTAACTTTAAAATCAAAACATGACCCATCTTCTTATTTTGGTGAAAGGCGACCTCCTACTTCTAATCTAAACTAAAAATAAATAAGCCTCATATATTAATTCAACAACAGAATTTGAGAGGATAGAATATAAGCATGCATATATTTTTCTTATTTTGTGAGGATGAAAAGACTATTTTCTTTAATAACATTTAAAAGACATTAAGTCCAGGGAAAAGAGTTAAAACATAGGGGGAATCGATTGTATGCAATATTAACCAGTATTTTATAAAAGGTTATTTTCACAGTTTGAATCTATAACCTCTCAGTGACATAAGAATAAGTAGATCAGTTATATCAAAGTTGCTAATAGTTCGGCACTTCTCCGTATAAATATATATCTTTGATTTGTTTAAAAATTAAATAGCACGTCACAGTTCGTGACGGATGAATGTTTAGTTGACTTCTGATTAATAAACCTAATAAGTAGCCGTTTGGCAAAATTGCGTGTGCATAAATTGTACTAATTCTTTCAAAAGATAAATGGAAGATGAGTTTCGAGTTTTAACAATAATTTTGACCGGTTTTTCGAAATTATTTTTCATTTTTTCAAATTAAATATAAATTCAAACACAACTTCAACGTTCAAATAATCTTTTTAAACTTAACTTCAAGTGCTGCAGTACAGTTCAAAAATACTTATTTTGGACCACCAAGTTCATCATTATCCCAAGGTAGGAAAAAGCAAAAATGGAAGTCATTCTGCAACAATTCTCTCTTTTTTCCTATTCTACTTATGGCATTCTTGTGATAGTCAGTCACAGCATAAAAACTAGTTTATTTTTTCAGCAACAATATACTTCGATAAAAGTGACACTTGTCTTGAACGTATTAGGCCAATCTGCCGTACACCAACCAATTACAGGCATTTTACTTATATGCCCCTTAAGTCACTATCATTTTGTTAACAATTAATGAGCTAAGGGGCCGGCAAAGTAAAAAGAAAGAGCAGGAGCTACTACCTTCGTCCACTTTTAATTGTCTTTTTTTTAGAGTCAAACTATAAAATTTTGATTAACATTTTATGATAAATTTTTTCATCATATTGATATGCAAAAAAATTATAATTTATAGTACTTTTCATATAGTTTTTGAATATCTAATATTTTTTTTAAAATATCGAATTAAGTTAATCTAATTTAATTTTAAAAATTAGTCAAATTGACTTTCAAAAGGTACAACATGACAAATAAAAATAGACGGGAGAGTAGTCTTGAAATAAATTGTATGAAATAGCAAATTATTAATTTAAATTAAATGTTATAGTCATAGTTTATTTATTTGTAATTCGCAGCAAACATCCCATTTCTTTGTCATCTAGTTCGGTATACAATTACCCATTCGATATACAAATGTATAAAATGTCTTTGTGTTTGTATAAAGCAAGAGAAAAGTGTATATACAAATACAAATACATATATTTTCGTTCTATAGACTTATAATTATACAGATCTTATTACACAAATTACAATGTATAAATGAATTTATACAAAACTGAACAATTTGTATAAAATTGGATGTATCTAGCGAATTATACAAATCAAAAGCTTCATAGCAAGCATAAAATTTGATATGGAGCGTAATTATGCAAACTATAGTTATAACATACAAATATAATTTTTATGTTTGCTATATGTGAAAGTTACTTATAAAAGAATGAGGTAGCAAAGAATTCATGGGTATTTGGGCTACTACAAAAGGCCTTTAGATTAGATGCTGCACCCAAGTAGACTCTTGAAGATTTATAGAGAGCTTTTAACTTAAAAGGCCCAAAGAGAATAGTTTGAAATCCTATAGGATCTTAGCATGAATAGCCCACCGAATTCACTGCTTACTTTCTTAGTTATTATACATTTTTTATACATTGATGGGGGAGTTTTTGCAAATAGTCACTATAATAAATTTAATTATGCTTCATAGCTATAATTTACTATTTACATATTTACTGGTTATAGCTACAGTTTAAGTTGTCTCGTTTATATAATTTGTGGATTTGTATAATTTGCGGGTACGTTTGCACAATTAAGCTATTTTTATATAAACTCAAAATAGCGAATTTATACAAACATAAACATCTGAACTTTAAACAGTTATACACATTATATTATACAAAATTACATTATACAAAAGTTATACAAATCATATTATACAAATTCCAAATTATACAAACGTGTGAATAATACAAACTCGAAACCCCAGCCCATGTAATTTTCATTGAATGCTGATCGCGAGTAGTAATTAACTAAAACTATAACTATGATGACTAATTAACTAGTATATGTTTGCTTAACCATGTAATTTTTCCTACATGGATACCCCACCCACCCCATCCCGCACCTTCACACACACACACACACACGCGCATATATATTAATTTTCATTCTTTGGAGCCAATTCTTTTTCCGTCCCCCCGCCCCGGCATAACGCTTCACTTTCGGTTATTCGGAATAATCAACTTACGTCTAACTTCTTCATTGATTTGGGGGAAAGGGAACTATCTACCAGTTGGGAAGCTAGACATCAAGTAAGTGGTTTGATGATGATAACTAATGTGATACGCCAGAGTTGGCCGTTGGCACAACAGGGTGGTGCCTTACCACACTGCAGGCGGACGCGCGGTGACATTTGTGGTGGTGCTTCAGAATTCCGATGTATTGCGTCTAAAATCAGAACGAGCTTGCCAGCGGACCACTGCCGTCTCATTCTTGAGTGAGCTGGAGCGCATTCATCATATCCACTGAACTAGCTAGAAGTTATCGCTTCGGGTCGAAGCACTAAAAGAAAAGAATCGGAAAACTCGGCGGCATAGGAACTGCGGAACCCTCTATTAGTAAAGGGAAAATGAAAGTGCGCTCATGCGCACCAGCAGAAAAGGCCCTTTCCGTTTTTAATAATAATAATAAATAAGGTAAGCTTTATAGCTCCAACCTAATCAAGGGGCTTTAATGCCGTTTGTATAGATTGGGTTTTATATATATATATATATATATATATATATATATATATATATATATATATATATATATATATTATGTTTTCTTAAATAACACATAAATATTTCTAAATAGTATCAAACACTAAAAACAAGTAAGAAAATCAATACTTATTTTCCAAAAAAATATTTTCCTTCGTCTCGAATCACCCCTTTATCTTGATTTGTCAATTGTCACAAGCCTGATCCAATAATTGTGTTACTTCTATAATATTAATGATCATGATTCACGATATGTTTCTTCTACTTCTTCTATATTACTTGTCATGTGCACCATTAACACTAGGAAACTTAAATCAAGGGGAGTTTTGACATTGTGACTTGTGAGTCTTCTTGTTCATTTAAATTTTGAGCATGAAAGTATTTGGACTTTTTCACTTACTTGGTTATCTTACGAATTAGTTTTGTGAAATGTTAATTTTGTATATTGTGCAACTAATTTTCAGTAGACATCTAGATTTTCCAAGTAAAAATTGGGGAAAAAATTTAACAAATAGTGTTTGTCCATATGATTTGCCATTATTTGGCAAATATTTTTGTGAAATAACCCAATTTTACTAGAAAAAATTAAGAGCAACTTTCATATATAATAAACATAAAACTCATATTTGTATCTTATAGGTATAATTTGCATAATTGCGCTCCATAGCAAATTTTATGTTTGCTATGGAGCTATTAATCTGTATATTTCAGGATTTATTCGAAGCTATATAAAATTTTATTTTCTATAAATTTAATAAAAGACTGTAAATTCTGTTACAAAAAAGGAAGACAATCACTAAACTCACGCAAAAACATCTCTTTCCTTCTACGACTTCTTCATCAGTAGTGACTCCATTGTAACTGGGTACACGTTTGCCTAGAAATTTAACACCCTGAAAAATAATACATATACAGTTTTACTCAAATATACATATATACATAACTATGACTTACTGTGTATAAATATGACACAAATATAGTTAGCGAATTGTATAAAATAAGATTTAATTCAATTTATCCTATACAAGTTTTATAAATAAGATTATACATTATACAACACCTTTCAATTGTATAATCGTTTATATTGTATATATAGTGAGATTATTGTACTTCTATTAATGGAGAAAGTTTGTATATTAAACCTAATGGCAAAAACAATATAGCTCTGTATAAATAAACATATAAAAACGTACATATAGTCATTATGTATAACACTAATTTTATCTGAATATAACATAAACATGTTTTATATGGATGTTATATATTATACAAAACATTTCAATTATATAAAATATTTCAATTGTATAATTGTTAATATTGTATATATGGTAAAATTGTTATAATAACTACTGCTATTTATACAATAGGTTTGTATATTAAACCTAATGGATGTACATATCTTTATAAACAAACAAATATAGGTAAAAAAATTACAGAGAAAATATAAGACTAATATACAATCGTAACATATACAAATTAATGATTATACAAATACATGAACTTCTTCATGTTCATCTTGCTCCAATGAGCTAGAAACAATTCTAATATACAATTGCTTTATACAATAAGTTTGTATATTAACCTAAGGGCTAATATACAATTGCTTTTCCTTTAATCTTCTTACTTGAACTAGCATCGTACTGATCTTTGTCACCTCCCTCAACAATTTCAGATTGCTTCGATTTTGCACTAATTTCACCTAATCTGATTGGGTCATTCTTAAATTTGAATCTAATGTCTTTAATTTCTTTGGATTTGGCTATTGAACCTGCAATCTCTCCAAAATCCTAAGCTAGACCCAAGAAAAATGTTCATCCATTGTATATGTGAAAAATCTGTATGGTTTATGATTTCATATGAAAGTTAAAGAAATAAGGGAAAAATTGAAAAAAAAATTGATTTATAGGTTTTGGCGGTACTTGAAATTTTTGAAATCGCAATTGAGAGCGTAGTAATGAAGATTTGAAATTCAAAACTGATTTTGTGGAGAGAATTTAGGAGAAATTGAAGGGTATGGGAGAGAGGAAGAGATGAAGTGAATTGTATAAAGGAAATTACTTCCATTTTTTTTTAATTTGTGGGACCGGTCAGTAGCAAGATATGTGAAACTGTAGCTACTCAAAGGAAATAAATGAAACAATAGCTATATTATTTATTTTCAATTAATAGTTTGTCATTATGCACAATTTTATTTGAGTCAAATCTCATTATTCAGGATCTTTTAAAAAATTAAATTTACACCAAACTTTTAACTTTTACAAAAACATCATCTATACTAGTTGTTTGCGCTGTATTACTGTTACATAATTTTTTACGTGAACACCAAAGTAGTGATGAAATATTCAGTGAATATGAAAGTGATGATATGATTGTTGATGAAAATGTTGAACAATCGGCTCAGGGTAACAAAGTTATGTGCTTTGTCTATTTCACGATGTATGAAATGATGCTTATTGCACTCACCCCAAACTACCACATTGCTCCAGTGTTATGAACACTACTTGTTATTTGTTGCAACGAAGATCCAATCGACTTGTAATACAAACTTATGGTTAGTTTTGATAGTTTTTAAAAACTTATGGGTATAAATCATATTTTCTCTAAAAAAGTGAAATATGTTTCTCAAATACTATGGCAAACACATGGTGAAATTTCACCCAAATAATATTTGTCAAAAATATTTAAAAATATATTGTCAAACGCTAGCTAAAAGTCACCTAAGTTGAGGTGCAACAATATTAATTTCCTTAGACCATAATAACTAGTATGAAAAATATCCAAATATAACTCTTTTCTAGCAACAAAATGATTCCATCTAAAATATGTTACATAAAACCATATTGAAAGCCTTCTTCATATCAACTATCACAAATAATTATAAATAGATGAATTATATAATAAAGAATCATCAAAACTTTATCAAAATTAGGTATGCTATTTCATATAATTGCTACTCCTCATCTACATTTTCTCTTCATTTATAATGAAAAAAACACTTTTCTCTCTTTCTTTTCTTCATAAAAGGTGCGTGCACCTTTCTTTAAAATTATTACATTCGTAACATAAATAATATCATTATATTTCAATTATTAATAAGCAAAAACAAACTCAAGTTTTAACATCTTAAAATAAAATTTACACATGTAAGAATTACATGAAATTTACTATAATCACAAATTTATTTAAAACCATACTCTTTGTGATGTGATGCACCTTCTTTTTTTAAAAAAACTTTTAATATGATATTTGTAACCACACGCATTTTTAATTTCTCTTAGGTCATAAATTTTAACTTTTTAAAAATAATATTCAATGCCTTATTAAAGCATATTACATAAATTAGGACAACAATATAGCAATAATTAGAAGTTGTCCCACCAACAAAGGTTATGATACTATTCCTTTCTCGAGTCTCCCACGTTTCTACACTTTAATTATATAAGACTTTTTGGTATAAATTTAAATTTGCTCTTTGATTCAAATAATTTACCCCTTAATATAAAAATTTATGACGTACCTTTAAATTTAACCAGCCTCAATATTTATTGGACACGACACCAATAAAATTTGTGCCACTTCTTTATTAGTGATACCGTCGATTTTCCTCGTAACAAACTAAATTGAACATCGGGGTTAGGGGGTAGCTGGTTGGAGCTAAATCCCAAGTTGGATTTAGGTATTCAACTGCCAAATATCAAATTCCAGATTTATTTCTCTCTCTACCTCGATGGCTTCGCTTTTAAATATACACCCTTTTCACCCCTATCCATTTTCTTCTTTCCTTTTTCGTCGCCTTTTCAATGGCTTCCCTTTTCGCTCTCCGAATTTCCAGTTTACACAATCAGTAAGTTCTCTCCCCAAATTTTCTCTTTTATGTTTACTCATCGTTTTATCGAATTGTTGAATCCTGAAATCTGTCAGTTAAATGGAAGAGTCAACGCGAACGATTTGCACCTTTGTATTTCTTAATCGAGTAATGTGCTTAGTATAAATATTTGTTGTTATCAGTTCAATCCCTGAAGCTTTTGCCTTTTAGTACATCAGATTCATTTCTGAGATGGAAATGTTTGGGGGGGAGCCAGTCTGTGTTTGGGGAATTAATAAGCATTGGTTAATGGTGGAGTATATTTGTGGATTTCTTCTTGTTCCGTGAGTTAAAGGAATGGAAATTTTAAGTTGAGATACCGAAATCAATAAATTGGGAAATCCTCCCCCTCTTGAGCTAGTTTTTGGAGTTAGTTAGACCCAGGAATCATTTCTTTACACTATCTTGTCTAATAATAATTTTGGGAATCGATGATATAACTAAAATGGAAATGTAAAAGGAAACTTGATTTATAAAGCATCAATATTTCTTTTTCCTTTTTGTTTTGTTAATTGTGTAAATCAATTTATTCAGAGTATGGTACAATAGATGAAATCATGAAAATGTATTGGTACAATTAAAAGAGATTGGCTGAAATGGAGGAGTGACTTAAGAGGTTTCTAATAAAGTGAATGTCAAGTTCTATCAAATGATTGTGAACCATTTATATTATGTGGGAAGGAATGTTGGGCTTCTAAGATCGATATATCTGCAAGATATGGATGTTAAGATGGATGTGTGATCATACTAGATTGGACAAATTAGAAATGATCACCTTTGATAAATGGGAGAAGTACATGTAGAAAATAGACTGAGGAAGATCGCTCAAGAACATAACACAGTGAAAACAAATGGTCAATATAGTATCAACTAGTGGGTATCAAAGTTAAGTTGTTTTACACTTCAATCTAGTTTGGCAAGGTATTCTTGTTTGTGTTAGAGACTTGTATCAGTGTAGAGACAAGTGTGAGATTTTGAGAAAATCTACTTTTAGAGAACTCTTTATTTACCTTGAAAGATAATTTATTTACTAATATTCACATGAAATATGTCCAAATTAGAATGGCGTGGATATTGAGAACTCATATGTCAACCACAACTGTCAACTAGCTTGGTGTGGAGTATTATTGATTGATTTTAAATAATAAGTGCAATGTGAATAAGTTTTCAAGTGTATACAATTCAAGAAAGGAAGGAAAAGGTTTTACTATCATACAAACGACAAATGCTAGATTTGATGCTTCTTAGATGGTTGTCCTTCATCCAGTGATAAGTTCCACTTAACCAGTTCAGTTTAGTTGTCTAAAATTGTGTGTGAGGGGAGTGCAAATCATCCCACTAACAAATTAACTGCTAACCTTAGATGAGTTTAGTCAGTAGACTATAAACACCATCTGCAGAAAAGGTCCAAGCAAGTCTACTAGGTTTGGGGATCTTAAATTGAAATCACCATCAGAATCTCTAAATCATAGATATTTGTCAGTATACAAAGGTAGCTTACAATGTCCTTGAGACGTTTGAATTCTTCATATTTCAGCCATTAAATAGAATTCCCTGATGGATCTTCTGTGCTGCAGAGAAATTGTCAGATCATGGAACTTAGCAAAATCTGGTACTAAGAAACTGTGTTCATCTAACATAAATGTGAATGAGCAGAGTTTTGGCTGTGTAAAATATGTCGTTCTGCAAGGACATCTTTCTGGATCATTGTCCCAAAAGATTCCAGTGAAATGCATTCCTTCAGAAGCACTAGGATCAGTGGCAGCTACAGGCAACCCTGACCAAAACATTATTATGGTGGACTCTTCTATAGTCAGTAGTCACAGGGATGAGATGGAATTCAGCCGAGTCAATTGTCTTGTGTGGGTACTGCATGAGTCTGCAAGAAGCTTTTCAGTTGCAGTACAGACCCTTGAATTGGCTAAAAATAGGCCCGAGCTTGCAATGGCATGGGTTGGGGTGGATGTGCATGCCTGGCATAAAAGCATCGCATATCAGGTATGGAAGTACAACCTGCATTTCTGCTAGTATAGATTTCTGACACTGCATTTTGTGGTTCAGTTTTAAACTGTGAAGGTTAATATCAATCGTGCTTCCATATTAAACACCTAGCTCATAACTATAAAAATTGTCAAGTTCGTGAACTTTGTAACCTATGCAACAAATAAAAACATGTGCTGCTTCACAGGTAGCAATTTATGCTTTGTTCAAAGCAGCAATAGAAGTGGAAGTGTTTCTTTCTCGCAAACGCAGCAACAATGTTTCTTCTGTTCATGAAATGTAAGTTTGACTATCTTGAACTTTTCCACAAATGGACATTCGTGTATTGTCATGTAGTTTTAAGTGTTAAGCTTATCAATTTCTGGCTCACTCAGTTTTTACTTCTCCTCCGATAATATTCGTTGTGGAACCCACATCATGAACTCCTATGTGTTTGTGTGTCTTCTATATATGGAGAAGGAAACTACATGTCACGATTTGACAATTTTTTCCTTTTTCTTGTTTTCATTTTCTCCTCCTTGTTTTACATCAGTTTATCCCCAATCACCGACTTTCTTGGAGAGCGCATTGAAAGTCAGTTGAATTTGAGGCATCCAAAGCTGGTGCAATGGTTTAGAACACTGGAGCTGCCACGGATTGCAGGAATGTTCATTCCCCTATTCAAGAAATGGTCTGTGGACTATGCAGGAAGGTATGTCCTTAAAGACCACTGCTTTGTTATCAGGTTATATTAGCTGTTTTCATGATGCAACTGAATGCTCTTGAACAGTAATCTTCTGATTGATATTGCTCATATTCGTCATATCTCAGTTGATAAAACATCTAATACAGAACTATTCAGTGGTGTTGCAGGAAATATCTTGGCAATAAGTTGTTGCACAGCAGTGCGGAAATTAGGTTCAGGACGAGTTTCTTGTCCTTTGTTTTCAGCTTCAGTTGAAGATGCACTAGTAGAGCTCATGAACTTGTCACATAGACTTGTTTCAATTGATAAATTGCACTATTTAGCTACTGAGGCTGGATTCGAAGAAGACTTCTTGATCCATTTTGGTAGAAAGGTTCTACCAAGTAACAATATTGAAGATGTAGAATTTTGGATAGGATTGGTTCAACGAAAACTCAGTAATGCATTTCACAGAGAAAATGTAATTGCAGACAAGCATAATTTTCACGACAAGGTTAGTATTTACTAATTGGTTTGTAGCCGATTAATTCTGTTAATGATCTCTTTTTTACTGTTGCACAAAACCTGTGGAATACGTCCAAACATATGATATCTCGACGTAACTCTGTCATTGAACTGTGTTTAGGTCTTGAATTCAGAGAGAGAAGGTTACATCTACATGCAATTTTTCTCTCTCTGTATTTTGTCAATTCTGTCTTTTAATGTTAAAGAAATTCCATTATGGGACTGATTTTGAGTTGATAAACGCCTTTTTCTTCCTATTTCTATAAGTTTGATAAAAAGATTGATAATTGATTGAATACCATGAGGTCTCAAGTTCAAATACCACCGGAGGCAAAAATATAGGTGATTCTTCTCATAAAACCTTTATGGACAAAGTTATCCTGTACCTATGCTGGTGGGAGGTAGAGGGTAACCCGTGGAATTAGTAGAGACGTGCGCAAGTTGGTCAGGACACTACAATTATGAAAAAAAGTAAGATTGACAGTAACAATATTAGGGAGTAGTTAGTTGGCGGAATTAAAGGTTTGCCCTGGCTAAAAAGACAATGAAGGTTGTTCTGTAATTTGGATGCATCAGTTACTTGTAATTGTGACAAAAAAAAGGTTATATATTGAACTGATTGTAGTTTCAAGATCTGACAGGTTCAAGAAAATAGTTTAGCTACCCTGGGACTTTTTGCATATCTGGGAAGAGAGACAAGATTGTTCCTCTCGGAAATGGGTGTAAAGGATCTTGATGAGCAAACTAGAGATTTTCTGAGGTATTTAAAAGAGAGCCTACTTTCCTTACTCTAGTCAGTATGGCCTGTACATTTGATTGATATTGGACAATTTTGCGCTTTCTCCTTGCAGTTACTTAGAATGTGGTAGCCTTCTTTTGCATCCAGAATTCTCCACTCTCTCTGAGTATCAGCTCTTCATGGAGGTAAGTATTTAAAATAACTTGGAAAATATGAAAGAAATAAACGATTGCTGCTGAAAACAACTCTCGCAGGTAGTAGCCAATGAAATTGGATGGCTCGACTTTTATGCTGAATCTGCTAGCAAGTTTTGTGTCAAAAGAAGATCCAAACAACATCCAATTCAAGCGGAAAAAGAAATAATTTTGTACACTGTTTTAACTGTATGCTATGATGTTATAGCTGGATTCGCCCACTATAACAATTCTGCGCAGCAGCCATTAGATGCAAAGTTACTGGACTTCTTGCTTCAGAGGTATCAAATCATTCTGAGTATGTATTGGAAGTCTCAACATAAATGTAGCTCACTCTTAAGCTGATTTCTGTCAATCTCTTTAGTCAGAGTCTGCTGTCTGTATGTCTGGAGGACTACTGGGCAGCTTATGATAGAACAGGGTATGTTGGATTTAATGACAAAGTTTAATCTTCTGTTGCTGCACATTCCAATGATGAGTTGCCTATCCTCTTAAACAGAGAAGTGCAAAAATTTGCTGATAGAAGTGCATCTGATCCGGCAGCATCTTTGTTTAGTAAAGGTGGAATGGGTTCATCCATCATATTGGACGTGAAAGAGAAGCCAATACATCAATATAGATCTAGATTGAATCAGGTACAAGCACCAGATTTAATAAATAGGGACTGCTATACTGAGTTTATTCTCTAGTGAATCACTCTTGGTTCAAAATTTCTCGATTACTAAATAGACTGTCCATCAAGAAAATGCATCTCTAGTCATCTAATATTTGTTCACAACCTCTTAACTCGGTAATCAGTTTCTGAAGCCCTTTATAGACTGATAATTTCTTTTATCAAATGACAGACCACCAGCTCTGCTGTGATGGACCCTGTGACACTGGTGGAATCGGAATGCTCTACTGCACCCAAACCAATGCATGAAAATTTACTAAGAAAATCTATGACCAAGCTGATATCTGCAAGTGTTGTAAGTTATTATCCAGTTATTCAATCATATCAAAAGAGTATGCTCTATAGTAGTTAATTTTTTATTGCATTATGCTATAGGATTTCTGGATGGGTACTGAATTGCTCTTTACAGACGTATCGGATGCTTTAGAGCTACTTATAAAGCAGTTGAAAGGCCGTCAACTCACCAAAAGGGAGAGAAAGAAAATGAAGAGAACGCTGGGTGATATAGCTACCCTTGTTCCCATAACCATCTTAATGCTAATCCCTGTAAGGATCAACTATATCAAACAACAGATTTTTGTTCCTTCTGCTCAAAGCTTATATTCTCTGCTGAATGAACTTGTCTTCTGGTCAACTTCATGCTCTCTATGCTAGAAATGTTTTAGCGCCTATAGAACTTATATGCCGAGGTTAAAAGAACTAGAAAGTAAGCATGCTAAAGTCTTTTTTAAAAGGAAATGATCCGGAAAATGTGCCATGTCTATCCTGGTTCTCAAGATTACCAAAAAAGAATTAAAAAATTAAAGTTCATTTCCACGAAATTGTATTAATGGTAGCGGATTGATTCTCATAGTTGTTGTACAATATACTTCTAAGATGAACAACCTTCATCTAGTTTCACAATGTCAATGTGAAAAATATTTTTTTCCTATTGTTCTCACAAATAAAAGAGCTTCTCAAAGATTCACTGTGTTAAATTTATCAGGTTTCCGCAGTGGGTCATGCAGCAATGCTAGCGGCAATCAAGAAATATGTCCCAAGTTTGGTAATTAACTGTAATCTATCATTCTATACATTATTCCTTTCTGTCATTTGCTTATAAGTTAGTCTTTATGGCCCAGATTCCTTCTCCGTTTTCTTCTGAAAGGCTTGATCTAATGAAACAATTAAAGAGAACGAAGAAGAAAGAAGTCCAAGCTCGAAGCAGCATAGACAACCCTTCTTCTAAAGTTGTAGAGTGAATGCAAGCTGCGGGAAACAACCTCATTATCATGGTGTTGGTGCAGCTTAACTTCTGTAGAGTGGCAAGAGGCGTTGCACATATACCTTATTACAGCCAATGCAAGAAACTATCAGTAAGAGGAAACAGAAACAACACTTTTTCACAAGCACATGTACACACAGATCCTGCTAAATTTAGTTCTAGAGAAAGCAACTTTGTTTTTGATCAACTGTATTTTCTCTAGGCATCATCTGACAATTGTTCATATATATCCATGGTTTAAAATGAAGCTTTCGAGTTTCTAAATTTCTAATCGTTGCAATCATCTGACAATTGTTCATATTTGTACAGTGTATGCTTATGAGCTCTTAGTAGCATTTTCTTTTTACTGAGGACTAGGTGAATGTTTTTAAAATATAAGCAGACGTGGGACACAAAAAGAAAATATTTTAGCTACTCTTGAGTCGAGTTTTTTTCCCTAGATAGATAGCATAACTGTAAACAGAGGCGGATCTAAGAGGGGTGAGCGTGTTCATCTTAATCTTTTTTCAGTAAAAAATTACACTGTTGAATATTTAAGGTAATTTTCTTTATTGTTTATGTATGAATATATAGATCTTGAATCCTTTGAACACAAGACTGGAAGTTAGATTAGTGATTTAGGGTGTTCAAAATCACTTGAAGTTCCACGTTCGATTTCCAGGCACTACAATTTTATTTTTGAACCTGTAAAAACAAAGAGAGATGGAACCAAAAAGATTTTTTATCTTTATTTTCCATTTATTGGGTGTTGTGGGAGATGAGAGAATTTTATTTAGTCTATTTTGTAAAATACAACCATTATGATCAATGAATGGATAAAATCTCATCAAATTCGTACACCATTTCGAACATTTCATCGAAGTTGTATCCAAATTTTATGCACAACAAAAGCTAGAAGTTGAGCAAGATAACCTGGCCAAATGTTAAACAACCAAAAAGGAAAAAAACAGCAAAATGTCGCTTTTCTTATTCCTTTTTATTACAAAAGGCTAATTAATTAGGTACCAAACACAATCAAATTCAAACATTTCTTTTAGAAATCGCTAGAGAGTGGAACATGGTCGCCGTAGTTCATGAAGACATTGCTATAGATTAAACCGGCCAAGCCACCACCAATGAGTGGTCCAACCCAATAAATCCAGTTACCAGCAAAGTTGCCACTAGCAACTGCGGGCCCAAAAGAACGGGCTGGGTTCATTGAACCTCCGGAGAATGGGCCCGCAGCCAAAATGTTGGCACCAACAATGAAACCAATGGCAATGGGTGCAATTGTACCCAATGATCCCTTCTTGGGGTCAGCTGCTGTGGCGTACACAGTGTACACCAATGCAAATGTGATGATAATTTCCATTACAACTCCTTCAGTAGCTCCTACACCAGCTGACACACCGTGGATTGGAACAGCCTGCAGAGAGAAAAAAAAAAGATTTAGATATTTTTGAGATAATCAATTTACAATTCAATCTTAAATTATAATTACAGCTTCAGTTTCAAACAAGTTGGAATCGGTATCAGAATTCTCACTAAATCATAATTTGAAAACTAATTACCAATCCTCCAGTGACAAATTTGAGGAGGCAGCAAGCAACAATGGCACCCAAAAGCTGTGCGACCCAGTAAAACAAGCCGGTAAGAAGGGTGATTTGGCCGCCAAGAGCTAAACCAAAAGTAACAGCGGGGTTAACGTGACCACCGGAGATGTTAGCACCAATAGAAACGGCCACGAAGAGAGCAAATCCATGGCAAACTGCGACCGCAACTAGTCCCGCAGGATCAAGAGCTGCATCTGCTGTCAATTTATCTGCAAAATATTTAGAATAATTAATTATCTAATTCAAAATTTCCCAAATTACGTACTTAGATCCAAAAATAGCGTTACGTTGCATGGAATGATCAATGGCTACATTATAAATATTTAATGTTTTTGTTTTCGTTATATGAGTAATTTTCTCTTTAAGGAGGAGGAAGAGTTATTAGAAAGTACTGTAGGCAATGGCAGATCCAACACCGGCGAAGACGAAAAGCAAGGTGGAGATAAATTCAGCAACATAGGCCTTAATAGACCCACCACTGAATGAATCGTCAAAACGTCCAAAAGCTATACAAGGCATTTTGAGACCAAATTAATTAAACGCTGCAATTGACAGAGAGAAGAATATTGCTTTTGGATTACCCCAAGAGTCCCTTGTTTGTACCTATATATACTGCAAATATAACAATAAAATATGTTGCATGTCAATCAATGCACATCATGAGTTTTTGCACTATATTGTATATTTTCTGTGTGTCCACAATTAATTGTCATGTTACGATTTTTAAAAGTTAATTTGACTAATTTTTCAATATTTTAAACAAAAAATTTAGATATTCAAAATTTATACAAAAAGTATTATACATTACAATTTTTTGCATATCAATGTGATTAAAAAATAGTACATTATAAAATATTAGTCAAAATTTTTATTGTTAGACTCTATAAAAGAAAACCACGACAGTTAAAATTAAAGTGGACGGACGAAGTATCACTCTCTAGTCCCAATATACTTATTTTCCTTGTTCAAGACGGATTTAGGATTTCTAACTTATAAGTTTCAAATTATGAGTTTATATCTACTACTATTATTGAATTTTTACTTATAAATTTATGCTCATATTTCAAAAGTATTCAAAAACAGAGCCAAAATTTTAATATTATAGATTCTAAATTATTTAAAAATGAAGACTAAGAGATTATAGCTGGGTTCTAAAAATCTAATATTGCATATATAATCAATAAACTTCTTGATACAAATAGCTTATTTAAGTTAAAAAATTATTGAATTCAGTCAAACTCATAATCTCCGACCTCTAAAAGTATTAGATTTAGATGAACTGAGTATTAGGTGTATATCCAATCAGGTGTTTTATTACAAAACTTAGCTGTCACTAACATGTCGTTTTTTGGAAATGTCTCGAAGTTGATCGATCAAAATATTAATGATCATCATGTGAACCAATCGTTATAATTTATTAAGACATTTTGGGTGGTGACCCTTGTGAACAAAATAATGATTAAGAAAAAGATTTTGTGATATCTGCGTGACTATATAATGGCGGGTTTAATCTGGTCTACAATGTGCATCCACCGACCATCAAAATGGAGAATGGAGTGCTTGTGATGGAATTTGCTGGAGTTTCTCTAGAGTTATTTAGAATATGTTTGGTAGGTAAAAAGATGCTCTTTTTTTTTTATATATAAAACAATTATTCTTTTAATTATTTATATATTTTTGGTTTGGTATATCGTGAATAAAAAATATTATTATAAATATATTTATATATAATATAATCGCTAAAATACATGATTTTATGAAAAAATTATAAATTCATGGTCACCATAAAATGCATAATAAATTTGCCCCGTATGTAATGATCCCACCATTAGTAACTCAGGAGGTGGTTCTAACTAACTAGCATGTACTTGCAACGTAGTTGTTATATAAATAAATAAATTAAAGATTCTTTTTCAAAAAACAAGAAGAATTTGTTTTATTAGAAAAAATATTTTGACCGGTCAATCAAACACGGGGAAGACTAAAGAATAGGAAGAGGATCTCTCCAGTTTTCCCCCAGTACTATTTCATAGAGTTGACACGTGTCAATTTAATTTTTAATAGATCAGATTAATTTTTTTGATCAAATATTATTAACCTGTTGTGAAATATTAGCAATATAAAATAATATCAGACAATAAATATATAGACAAGATATATTAGAGATAATGCTTTCTTATTTCTTTCTTCTGTACTTTTCAATTGTCTCTTTTATAAAATAATCATCGCCTATTTATAATACAAAATGTCTCTTCAAAGTTACATGAATTAAATAGTGTTCATTTATTTCATACATGAACTTCAAAGAGAGTTACGGATGATCTTTGAAGAGAGTTACGGATCACATCCACATTAATGTATTTATAACACTCCCCCTTGGATGTCCATAGATAATGTGCCTCGTTAAAACCTTACTAGGAAAAACCCAGTGGGAAAAATCCTAGTGAAGGAAAAAGAGTACACATATCTTGTAATACGCCTTGAGTGTTGCCTCATTAAAAACCTTACTAGGAAAACCCAATGGGACAAAACTTTGGTTAAGGGAAAAAGAGTACAACACGTATTTTACTCTGATGAAAACTTTATTTGATATCCTGGAGACGACGCATTCCAATCTTATATCTTAACTTCTCAAATGTTGATGTTGGCAATGCCCTAGTGAATAAAGCAAAATTATCACTCGAACAAATCTGTTGAACATTTATCTCACCATTTTGTTGAAATCATGTGTGAAAAAGTACTTAGGTGAAATATGCTTTGTTCGGTCTCCTTTGATATATCCTCCCTTTAATTGTGCTATGCAAGCAGCATTATCTTCATACAATATTGTTGGAATCTTTGTTTGCACAGAAAGACCGCATAATTGCAAAATGTGTTGAGTCATTGATCTTGACCATACACACTCTCGACTGGCTTCATGAATGACTATTATCTCTGCATGATTTGAAGAAGTAGCAACTATTGTTTGCTTCATCGAACGCTATAATATAGTCGTATCTCCATATGTGAATAAATAGCCCGTCTGAGATCGGGCTTTATGTGGATCAGACAAATAGCCAGCATCTGCATAACCGATCAATTCTGACTTGGATGCATTAGAATACAACAATCTCATATCAATTGTTCCTCCAGGTAGTAATGCGGCTTCTCTTCCAGAGCCCTCAATCAATTTTGTACTACCAGATATTGTATTAACATATGCATTTTTCATTACCAAATAAGAGAAATATTTCTTTTCTCTTAGTATCGTATGAGTTGTGGCATTGTCCAGAAGACACATATCTCCATTACTCATCTTGGATCCAACTGAAGACTAGGAAATTTTATTTATCTTCATAAAAATAAAAATACATAATAAGAAGTATGAAACTTAACAAAAGAAAATTTAAGTACATGAACTTTAAGTAAGACATTAAAAACACATAATATTATTCATTTCCCAATTTAATTATCAATCTTCAATTGCGATCCCCAAAGAAGTCCTCAACTTCTAGATGAGTAATATCATCGAGCCCATCAAAAGCATCATCTTTCAATGCTAAATTTGCCTTAATATTTTCATCATATTTTTGAGAAGACCCTGCCTGAGCATCATTTTTTAGAGTCAAATGTGACTCCACTCGGGTAGAAGAGGAGGCACCACCTCTATTCCCTTTCCTTTTAAAGGAATTTTGATACAGCCTGACAAAATGCTCAGGTGCCCGACATTCATTTTTCCAGTGACCTTTAAGGCCACAACGATGACAGTGATCATCCTTGCCTTTTGAAGGATTATTTTGAGAACCCATATTGTTCTCCCTTTTGTTATGACCACCACCTCGACGATTATTATATCGTCTTTTGCCTTTGCCACGTCCACACACATTATCATGGTCCCGATTATTTTGTCTTATTTCAGACTGGCCGTGTGTTTCTACCCCGTGGGCCTCCGGTAATGGAGCACTTTCAGTGGGATGGGCTTCATGATTTTTCATTAAAAGGTCATTATGCTGCTCAGCCACCAGAAGGCATGAGATTAATTCAGAGTATTTTTTAAAACCCTTTTCACGATATTGCTGTTGTAATATCATATTGGAGGCATGGAAAGTAGTTAGTGTATTTTCCAACATGTCCTCATCTTTTATAACTTCCCCACATAATTTTAATTGGGGAGTGATTCTAAATACAACAGAGTTATACTCAATTACAGTTTTATAATCTTGAAACCGTAAGTGCATCCACTCATAACGAGCCCTTGGCAATACAGTTTCCTTGAGGTGGTCATACCTCCCTTTTAAACCTATCCACAATTCAAGTGGATCTTTCACTGTTAAGTATTCAACCTTCAGGCTTTCATCAAGATGATGACGAAGGAAAATCATAGCTTTCGCTTTATCCTGACTTGATGCCTTATTTCCTTTGATTATACAATCACCAAGACCCTTAGTGGTAAGGTGAATTTCAGCATCAAGTACCCATGACAAATAGTTCTTTCCAGAAATGTCAAGTGCCACAAATTCAAGCTTTGACAAATTCGACATGATGAAAACTATCATAAAATAATTGAGTTAATATTATGATGTTGGTTTCTTTATAATAAATGATAAAGTATAATATGATTATAAAATATATTATATGTTATATGCATGCACATTGAATGTCTCAAAAACATATAAACTAATAATGTATTGAAACCATAGTTTTAATATGTAATTTTAATTGTTCTATAATATTTATTATTAATTTCAATAGATATTAACGCCAAATTTTTGTAAGAGTTTCAAGTCATATTTAATACAATAATATTCTTCTTTATGACACACCAATATACTTATCATAATGTATGAAAATACTTACGAGTTATTTTAACTAGCATGCTATCATATTACTTAGTAATTAATTTAGAGTTATAAGTTAGTAGCATATAAATAACATAACAATATAAACTTGAAACGTATTGATTATTATGCCTAGTAAAGTATCATAATAATAGCTAAATCAAGTTATATATGCAGTAATTAAATTATCGACCAAAGATTTATGCAAGTCCTATTAGAGGTGTTATAAACATATAAATGTATACCTGACTCTAAAAGAAAGTTGATTAACTTTTAGGAATTAATTTCGAATTAAGTAGGTCTCAGTTGGTTAGAGATTTGTGCTGATAACATGTTGTGAAATATTAGCAATATAAAATAATATCAGACAATAAATATATAGACAAGATATATGGGAATAATGCTTTCTTATTTCTTTCTTCTGTACTTTTCAATTATCTCTTTTATAAAATAATCATCGCCTATTTATATTACAAAATGTCTCTTCAAAGTTACATGAATTAAATAGTGTTCATTTATTTCATACATGAACTTCAAAGAGAGTTACGGATGATCTTTGAAGAGAGTTACAGATGACATCCACATTAATGTATTTATAACATAACCATGATTATTAGTAATTCTCTCTCCTCTCATTCCTTTCTCAATCAGTAAAGAAACACTTCTTCCCCCTCCAAAACTCTTCGAAAAACAGAGCAATCAAACAATTGAAAATTAAAATTACATCAATATTTTAATGTTTTTACATTTACATATGAACAACTAGGGAGAGTCTCAAAAGAGAAAGACTGAAATGGAGTGATTAGCCTCAATTAAAGATTACAGTTATAAATACCACAAGAAAAGAAGACCAAAAAAATAAAT